GGAAACAGTCATTATTTGCATTTTGTATTGAAATATATTCGGAATAGAATAATATCTTCTAAAGTAAATTTATATTACGTTCGCCACCAAGGTATTATAGTTTTGTGTATTTTCTTTATACAGCTCTATGTGTATATCTTAGTGGAATATACAATCATTTTTTATACTTTTCTAGCTACTTTTGGACGGTCTCTGACCTACCGAAACATGTTTCTCTATCTCGGAATTACTTATTTCCTATTTGATACCTATGTATCGGGGATCTATAGAGTCTATCAAGAGTTATCAAAATATGTGACGTTTTCTTATATAATTATCACTATTGAATATTATGTAATGATAACCATCACTAGCAATAGATTTCTACCTCTACTTATGGTGACATTTTATCTCTTGTATTTTTTATTGAGAAAGTAAAGTACTAGATATATAAGAGATAGAGAAATCGGCTAGATAGATAAGAGATAGATAAATCGGGATGTGATTTTTAAATTTGGTTCGATCTAATCTTTCCTATTTTTTCGAATAGGAAAGATTCTATACTAAACTAAAAAAAATAGAATCTTACTATATGATATATGAATTCAAATTCTTGTTTATCAAATAAGTTTTTTATGGATCAAAAAATATTTGAGAAATTATGAATTATTAGAGAAATGAAAAAAATAGTATTCTAGGTAACTGGTAATTCAAATAATTGAGATCCGTATCTTAAAATTATTCCGATTGTGATTATATGTTATATACTAGAATATCAAAGAAATATAGAATATTCTATATTTCTTTGATATTCTAGTATTTATTTGATTAGATTATGATATAGTAATTGTGTTATGAAGAGCTAATAGTAAATAGTAAATAGTTAATAACTAGGATCCCGGTAGTTTAGGAAAGAATTCTGAGAAATGCACAATTTGTGTTCTGAGAGCCCGCTTAGCTCAGAGGTTAGAGCATCGCATTTGTAATGCGATGGTCATCGGTTCGATTCCGATAGTCGGCTTTTTTCTCTCTATTTTTTTTTTCATTTTTGACAGAAGGGATAATCTCTTTTTTTTTAGGAAAAAAAAAGAATAGGGTGTTCCTTTTCTGTAGAACAAATCAAGAAAATAACCGCCTTTTTTTTATTTATATAGATATACAATAGAATTAAATTCGGATCCTGATAGAATCTTTCCAATTCTTCTTTGTACTACACTATATTTAGAATATTTTTTGTCATTTAGTTTAGTTTTAATTTTTCTTTATGAAATTTTCCATTTAACAAAAAAGGAGTGTTTATGTCACGTTACAGAGGGCCTCGTTTGAAAAAAATACGCCGTCTGGGGGCTTTACCAGGACTAACCAGTAAACAGCTTCCAGTTGGAAGCGAACAATCGCGCTCCAGTGAAAAAAGGGAAAAAAGGGAAAAAAGGGAAAAATCTTACTATTCTATTCGTTTAGAAGAAAAACAAAAATTGCGTTTTCATTATGGTCTTCCAGAACGCCAATTGCTGAAATATGTTCGTATCGCTGGAAAAGCGAAAGGGTCAACCGGTCAAGTTTTACTTCAATTACTTGAAATGCGTTTGGATAACATACTTTTTCGATTGGGTATGGCTGTGACTATTCCTCAAGCCCGTCAATTAGTTAACCACAGACATGTTTTAGTTAATGGTCGTATAGTAAATATACCAAGTTATCGTTGTAAACCTGAAGATATTATTACAGCCAAGGATGAACAAAAATCTAGAACTCTGATTCAAAATTCTCTTCAATCAGCCCCCCGCGAAAAATTGCCAACCCATTTGACTCTTGATCCATCCCAATATAAAGGATTAGTCAATCAAATAATAGATAGTCAATGGGTTGGTTTGAAAATTAAGGAATTGCTGGTTGTAGAATATTATTCTCGTCAGACTAAAACCTAGTTCAAATAACAAGAATTTTGATCCGAGTATTTTCCCCCATTCGTGTATAGAAGTGGGTATAGGAAAATTGTTATTCCTTGCCCACTTTATCCACAATTTTCTATATTACATAAACAAAAATCTTATCTATTATTATTTCAAACATTGAGGTCAGTAACATTGATGAACTTGGTAAGGGTGCGGAAAGAGAGGGATTCGAACCCTCGGTAAACAAAAAGCCTACATAGCAGTTCCAATGCTACGCCTTGAACCACTCGGCCATCTCTCCTACATAATGATTATGCCCCTAAACCGAGTGAATAGTGAGGCATTTATATCCCATTTGCGTAGGCGCACACAATCAATTGAAACTAAAAAAATAGAAATAGAAAGATTTTTTTTTTTTTTGAAAAAAAAACCTACTTCAAGGCCTACCGTAGAATAAAGTAATTTGATTAAGAAGTCCATTTTTACGTTATTTCGTACTGTATTGTACAATTCCTCTGTTTGGGGAATTATTTTATCATGCTAAAATTTTAGAATGGATTGCTACCTATGACTAGATCTCGGATAAATGGAAATTTTATTGATAAGACCTTTACCATTGTAGCCAATATCTTATTACGAATAATTCCGACAACTTCTGGAGAAAAAGAGGCATTCACTTATTACAGAGATGGTGCGATTTGATTATTATTATTCTTTTTTTTTTACCGATCTCAGTCTTAGGAGAAAGATACATTCTTCAGAGAGAAATAAAAAAATTTTGAAAAAAAACCTACGCTTGCTGAAGGTGAAGTTTGGAAATAAAACGATTAATCCCTTCTGTCGTGTATTCCCGATTAATGCATCCTCAATATGCTTCAATTTTAGTATAGTATTAAGCGAAAGGTTATACCTATTTATACCTATGTATGGGGTTAGGTTAATCCTACTCCACTAGTACCAATAGGCGGCATGGGGGAAGAAGCACTACGCTAGGGAATCAACAACAGGAGAAAACTTTGTAAAAAAAATCCTTCCTTTCTTATCGGGATCGGGACTAACTAGAATGGTTGGGACAATAAACATCCATCTCGTTCGTATTTTGGATACCCATATAACCATCGAAGACTGTTGAAGTGACTAATTCCGGGAAATGAAGCGGCGTTGAGGACAAATAAATTGTTGAAGTTACTATATTATCCAGTAATAACTTACTAAATGTTAATAAAAGATCCTTTACAGAAAGGTTGGCTAGAGATTTCGTGTAAAAACACTAGTCCCGCTCAGTTGATAATGAGAATATTGCAATCTTTTTTGATTGGATTCCATGGATGTTTATCATTATCCACATAAAGGAGGAGCCGTATGAGATGAAAATCTCACGTACGGTTCTGGAACGGAGATTCTTTGAACCGAATGACGACCGTAACGGATGTCGGCTCAATCTGAAGGAAATTATGCGGAAGCTTTACAGAATTATTATGAGGCTATGCGACTGGAAATTGATCCCTATGATCGAAGTTATATACTTTATAACATAGGTCTTATCCACACAAGTAACGGAGAACATACAAAAGCTTTGGAATACTATTTTCGGGCACTCGAACGAAACCCTTTCTTACCTCAAGCTTTTAACAATATGGCCGTGATCTGTCATTACGTGCGACTATCTCCACTATAGAAAGAAAAAAGAAAAGAACCTCCACTAATAGTAAGAAATACTAGACAAAAAAAGAAAAATAGGCTTTCTACATATATATCCGTTCGAAACAACGCTTTTTATGAGCTGTAGCAAAGAAAGAAACTTCATAGAAGTAAAAATCTGAAGAAATAGAATATATATGCCTAGATACTTTTTTCTATGGATAAAAGATCTAATTGATAGAGGAAGCACCGTAAAGATCAATTCACAAGGTTTTTGGCCGATACAACAAGAACTGCTTACTTATATGATGATAGATTAGGAATCGACTTATGTAATAAAGTGGATCCCCTAAGGTTTTGAGCAGCGGTGTAGTATCAGATCCCAAAGAGAGTAACTCTTTTCTTATGAAGAAAAGTCTTTCTCAAGGATTCTATAGAAATATATATATCATATATGAAATATATGAAATGATATATGAAATCGAGATAGTTACCTTTCAGAAAATTCGAATAAGAACGTTAGTGTGAATGTCGATGCTTTATTCTTCAGAAGGTAGGAAAAAAGATAAAACTAAAAACAAAGGGTTAAATTGAATTATTAATCCAAATTCAAGTTTAAAACTCATGTAATTAACCTCTTTTCTTGTTATTAACTCCAGAAAAAATAGAAGATCAAAAGAATTGACTGTTGAGCCGTATGAGTCAGGAAACTCTCAAGTACGGTTCTAAGGGAAGGATTTTACTCACCTATTCCGACCGCGGAGAACAGGCCATTCGACAGGGAGATTCTGAAATTTCAGAATCTTGGTTTGATCAAGCTGCTGAATATTGGAAACAAGCTATAGCCCTTACCCCTGGTAATTATATTGAGGCACAGAATTGGTTGAAGATCACAGGGCGTTTTGAATAAGAACAGTCTTTTTATTATTTTCTTTTTTTTATTCGAATTCTAATATTATTCTCTATATTTTATTCTTTAATAGAGAATAAAATATAGAGAGAATCCATTATATATATTGAATTTTTTATAGTTTATTGCCCCCATCAGTCAAATAAAAGGGTCCGTTGAGCACCTCACTGCTATGTCATAATAGATCCGAACACTTGCCCTGGATTCACTTCCGGATCATAATTGTTCTAGTGAATAACTAAAGAAAATATAGAATAGATATATGGGAGATAGAAGAGAAAGATATTCAATATAAACATCTCTCATAAGTTCATTAATTATGTTTTCTGTTGGCGGGTCTCTTTGTATGTGTTGTCCGGAAAGAGGAGGACTCAATGATTATTCGTTCGCCGGAACCAAAAGTCAAAATTTTGGTAGATAGGGATCCCATAAAAACTTCTTTCGAGCAATGGTAAAAGAGTAATTTAGAGAGTAATACCTAAAGATCAATATCTAAAACTTTACTATTACCGCGGTCATGTCATTAAAAATGCTCTCAGATTTGAAAGGGGACTAAAATCTTCTAAAAAAACAAAATAAAAAAACTACAAAAATCAATTTTTAAAATGAAAAGACCAAAATCGAAAGGAAAAAAATAAAGAAAAATAAAGAGATCAAAATTACAATTAAACCTACTACATAAAAATATATTTAACTAAGACAATTAAAATTTTCAAAATTAACCATCCAAAAATAAAAAACATGTTCGTTTCAAGATTAACACAAATTCTTAGAAAAATAAATGTACAAATACAACATTCTTATATTTAGTACAAATTTATAAAAATTGTTTTCAACTATTTTATACTCCTAAATAAAATTTACACAACTCAACTTTTTTATTTCCAGGTTAGTAAGTGGAGATATTTTTCCCAAAAATGAAACTCAACTACCAAAACCTATCAATTTCCTTCTATTATTTTTCTTTCTTTTTTTTTAATTTTAAATGTTAATAAAAATATAAAAATTTACCAAATAAATTTGTAGAAATAACATTTTCAAAAATATAATTCATAACAAAAATTATAGCAATTAAAATAAAAAGGGTTAAATATACATTTAGTCTCTACAAATTTACTAAAAATAGTTTTAATCCCTATAAAAAAAAGTCGAGTTTTAGTCCCTATAAAATTACTTTTGAACGCAGTTTTAGTCCCTCTACAGATACTAAAACTGCGTGCAAAAATGATTTTATAGGAACTAAAAACCAAAACTGAGATATTTATAGGGACAAAAACATATTTAATCCAAATATAAAATATGTATATTATAGTATACTCCTATTTAATATAGGAACTAAGAAAATATTTAATGGTCAAAGTAAGACTAAAAATCCAACAAACAAAATATTGACAGAATTAAGCAAGAATATTCAATTCTGTCTAGTGTCATATATGTCTATAAAAAGCAGCATTTGAAGGAAGCAAATACACATCCATCATCCACCACCACAATTCACAAAGAGTATTAGCCAAAGAAAACATGGATACCTATAACAATGAGAAAGGTAACAATATAATGGAAATTCCCACTCCACAAACAGATGATAGTGATACCCTCTTAGCCATGGTTCTAGGTGCCAATATGGTGTTTCCTGCAGTTCTTAATGCTGCAATTGAACTCAACTTGTTTGAAATCATTGCTAAAGAAAGTAATGATGGATTCACGTCAGCTATTGAAATTGCTTCAAAGTTACAAGCTCAACACTCTGACTTACCAAATCGGCTTGAACGTATGTTGTGCATGCGTGCTAGCTACTCTCTTCTTTCTGTCTCCACTCGCACTAATGACAACGGTAGCAATGTGAGAGTTTACGGGGTCACATGTTCTGGCAAATACTTTGTTAATGATGAAAATGATGGTGGTTATTGGGCTCATTCACATCATTTATCTGCCACCGTGCTTTGTTAGGGCTGTGGTAAGTATTTCTACCTTGCATAAAAACATGTATATTCTGTCATAATACAACATTTACTTATAGTTATTGGTAATGTTGTATGTTAAATTTTAAGGAAGCAATAATTGATCCGGAGATTGATCTATTCAAGAAAGTTAATGGAATATCCAAGTATGAGTACTTTGGGAAAGATCAACAAATAAACAGACTATTTAACAAATCAATGACTGATACATGCAATGTTCATATTAAAAGAGTCCTTGACATATACAAAGGATTTGAGGGATTATCAACTTCGGTTGATGTAGGAGGTGGCAATGGACAGAGTCTCAAATTGATTATTGCCAAATATCCATCAATAAAGGCAATCAATTTCGACCTTCCACAAGTGATTGACAATGCACCGCCCTTTACAGGTAATCTATGAAACACAAGTCACCAAACACAACACTAATACAGACACCAGACACAACACTAACACGTCAACACTAGCAATAATTTAAAAAATGAATAAATTGAGTTGAATGTAATCACAAATGTCAGGGTTGGTGTTTGACACTGACACGAACACGCCTTTTGCCCAAGGTGTTAGTGCTTCAGAAGTGAAAAGATATCCTAAAGGGTATTAGTTCATTTGATCACATCTCATAAAGAATATTTGTTGAAAATTGCCAAATTTTATTTAGATATTGAACATGTTGGAGGAAGTATGTTTGAGAGTATTCCAAAAGGAGATGCCATAATACTTAAGATTGGTATATATAAACAAATAAGTACTACTCTTTAATGATATATGGTTCTTACCAAAATATTCTTTAACTCTAGATTTGTTCCATAGGCTGTATGCCATAACTGGTCAGATGAACAATGCATAGAAATTTTAAGAAATTGTCACAAAGCTATACCTCCAAATGGAAAGGTCATTATCATAGAGCTTGCGCAACCAGAAGATCCAGAACCAACAGATGCATCTCGGATGATTGCAACTATTGATAACATCATGTTTATCACAGCTGGTGGAAGGGAAAGAACTCCAAAAGAATACGAGTTTGGGTAAACAAAAACAGGCTGGATTTTCTAAGCTTCAAGTTGTTTGTCGCGCTTTCTCCATAGTCGGAGTCATGGAACTTTACAAATAACCAAGTGACACATCGAAACTTAGAGTATGAAGTTTCTTATGTTCCTCTAATTTATTGCCTTAATTTAGAAAGTTGCCTCTTGCATTTGAGCTTATTCTATTGCATAACTCCAAAATACAGTCTTTTCTTTTTCTTTTTCACATTGTTGATTTTTCCTTTCTTTTCATGTATTATGTTTTTCATTTATTTTCATGCATTATGTTTTCCATTTCTTTTCATGTATCATGTTTTCGTGTAATAAAGCCTTTGTGGGAGTGTTCCTATAGTTTCAGCTTGAAATTGTTATTTAACTTTTTGTTGATTTTTAGTGAATTTTTTTTGCTGTTTCCCTTCATAGAAAAAGGATGGTAATTATATTTATGAGCATCTTCACAAACACACAATGGTAAATCAACCAATTAAAAAAAATATTTGATGATTCACATGCTGAATGAAAAAATACAACAAAAAATAGACATTTACAATATTAACAAAATAACTTACAAAAGACAACTAACTTCCTATAGATCCAAAATTCTAGTCTTACGATTATATTGTTACTATAAAACAGTGGAACAGACCAATAAATAATTCAAATTTATTCAGGAACGGTTGTAAAATATCATAAATGTCACTTAATTAATAATAATATCCCTTTCCAAAAAGAATATTAAAAAAAACAGATATGAAGTTTTTCTCTATTTTGTTGTCTAATTCAGTTCTGTGAGAAGTACATTTCACTCTTGATTTAAGTGTAAAGATAGAGAGACTTACAAGTTCAAGAAGAGATAGTGCTTTTTGAGATGACATCAAAGGATATTCCATTTTGTTGAAGTTTCTGTTGGAGATCGGTATGACCAAATACAATTCCGGGAGGGAAAACGCCTCCTTTAGGTAGGTTTTTGCGCTGGCTGAGAAGAATGAGAGCACACTGAACAAGAATTATTGGGGTCGTAACATATCCAATTTCAGGTCCTGTTACTCTTGTTACAATTTCCATGTCAGGTTTTGTGTTTTCCTGTGAAGCAAGACTCTCGTTACTAAAACCACGTCCGACAAACCACATCCTGAAAGATGCGCTTTTGACTTCCTCTTCGGAAGGGCCATTCTTCCTGAACCAACCGAGACTAAACAAAGAAGGAAATTTCAAAAGAAGCCACCGTCCAAAACCCGTGCTTCCGAAAAGGCCAATACAAATTCCAACCATGATGATTCTCAATATGCCGAACAAAGACTTTGAGCCTATTTTCACACCAAAATGAGCTGGCTTCACAGATGACCAGAAGGCCTCTCTTTTTTGAACTGTCTCGGAACTTTCGTTCGAACCGGGGAGACCATTGGGGTTTTCTGTTAGTGTTGAAAGTGTTCTTCGAACAACGCTTGCATCTGCTGAAGGAAGCACTACTGCCCAAAGGCCAATGTTCTTCTGGTGTTCTATAGTCTGTCCTTTTGAAGGAGAGGGCCCAGGAATCTACAACCATGAAAACAGAAACCGATAAAAATCAAACAGTATTATTAATATTAAAAAAGTACAAGGAAAAAATGCAATACAAGTTCAATTGACACACCACACAAATTTGAAATCAATGGACAAATTGACAAATCACAAGGCTTAAAATCAAATGATGTCCCTATCTGACAAGTCCAACTAATTGACGTTGCTCCAGATCGAAGAACTAGTGTAAGATTAACATTAAAAGCAGAAAGAAGTGTTTAAGCTTTTACAATGGATAAACAGTAGTCTCAACTCCTCCCCCTATGGCCGCACTGCATTGCCTAATCAACTTGTCAACTCAACATGTAACTAATTCTCTCTCCTGCTATGTCTTTCTTCCTCTCAAACCGAAGGTGTGTTTGATGTCCTCCGACGTGTATCAATGCCCAACAACAATACAACACCGACATATGTGATTACATTAAATACATCTATTTTCTAAAATTATTACTATAGTCGATATGTGCCGTGCCCGAGTTACTGCACATACAAACAGAACTAAATTTCTCAGTACAGCCTCTAGCCATTACTAAGGCAGAAGCCAACACTGGAATGTCAACAATTAAGAGCAGACATCTTGCTCTGTCCAGGAATTTATTAAACTTCAACACACACCTAGTCTAACACAAACCACAAAATTCTAAATTGCCACAACTTGGTAAAAACCATTACACTTTTCAAGTTGATTTCTACTCCAAGAACTAAGTAATTGACCAAAGATTGCATGCACAATAACGGATGATGGAAACTAGACTCTGCAAATGCAATAATAATTTGGTTGACCCTTGCGAATGCAATAAATTCTATTACCAATTTACCTCCCTCCACCCTCCAAGTCCCTAAATATTTACCTCCTCAAAAGTGAATGCATCATTTTAGAGTGAATTGTTCATTTTGTAAGGGAGCCATATCCAATCCCAGACAAACACTCATGCAAATTAATTTATCACTTATAAGAATATCACAGAGAGAGCTTATGAAAACAAGTTTAGCATGTTCATATGCTCATTTCCACATTTCCACATGAAAACAGAGTATAGCTTATTGAAACAACTTATCCCTTATATGAAATAGCTTATACTTTACATGAAAACAGTTTAAACTTAGAGCTTATACGAAAACAGAGTAAAACACGTCAATCTCCGAAACAAACGAAGTTCAAAATAAAATTACCTGAGGCCTAGCTCTTCTCCTTGTTCTAGACCTTCTAAACACCTGCAAATCTTTGGCATTCGCCACACCAAGAACCGCAGATTCATACGTAGCAAAGTTACCAACAATCCTCTTCCCAGACTCCAACCCAAGATACGCCGTAACCCGGTTCGGCACAGCGGGACCCACCCACTGCAAGGAATTAAAAAAGAACCCAATCTCCGCCGGAACGGAATCAAAACCACAAGCCGAAACCACCAAGGAACCGGTTTCATATGCTCGATCATGATAATCACTCTCCATTCTCTCCATAAACTCTGGCTCACCGCAAATATCGAGGTAATCGCAACCCGAATCGACGCAGGCCGATACGACGGGCTCGCCGTGGAGGCGAAAGGGACCGACGCAGTTGAGGATGAGGCGGGTTTGGGAGGAGAGGGAGCGGAGGGAGGAGGGATCGGAGGTGTCGGCGGGGAGAATTGGGATGGAAGGCGGTGGGTTAGGGTGGGAGGACCATTTTAGGGTTTGGGAGAGTTTTGTAGGGTTTCGGCCGGCGATGGCGATGGAAGTGAGAGGGGATTGTGATGAAGATGATGATGATTGGTTGTTGAGGAATTTGAGAGCTTCTTTGAGAACGTATTTGCCTGTGAAACCTGAAGCTCCTAAGATGATGACATCGAATTTTGCTGCATTTTCTTCCATTTTTTGAATGAGTGTGGTTTTCAGTATCACAACACTCTTATAAATTTTTAAAAACTTCTCTCTAGTGTTATTCTACTTTGGCTTTGTCACCTCTTTGCTCATGAAATTCAAGAAATTCTTAGTGTTTTTCTTTGGTCATGCTTGCAAGATCTTTTGTTTCTTTTATTTACCACTTCTCATTGTTCTTTTCACATAAACTGTCCATTTTGGATGATGAATGTTAATGCATATGCAATATTTTCAAGGATTTTATGGAATTTAAATTTACTAGACAAAGAGAAGACAACAAACATTAATTGTATTAATAAGTTCATGAATTACAAATGCCTCTCTTGGGCTTACAATGGAAAAAGCAAAAATAATACAAAATAAATTTCCTAAAATAAAAAGGACTCAAGTTTCTCATGGGCGTATCCTCTTTGGTGCAATGTAGGCATTCAAGCTTCGTTCTTCATGAAGTTGCCTCATGAGCTCCAAAACCTTCTTCTTGCTTGCATAGAACTGTGCTTCAAAGGTATCTCATCCCCCTTTGAGTTGAATCCACGATCTTTGTAATTCCTCGAAGTCAGTAGGCATGTCAGGATGAAGAAGAGTGTAAGGGGTGTCTCCCTCAGCAACGGGCTCCATAATGACAGGTAGGATGGCGGGGTAAGGCATCATGAGACTTTGAGCATGATTTCGTACCCACTTTAGGTAAGGTTCAAGAGGGATGGAATTTTTATGCCCCAAAGTCTTGCTATCCACTTTGTTTACCATTCTCCAAGCTCGTATGAACCTTTGATGATAGCCTTGGACGTCGCTTTCATAGTCGAATACCAAACCTTTGATGAGCGTATCATGGGGACCATCTCTTTGCGCATACCTAAATTATCGTAATGCAAGAGAAGGGTTATAGGTAATACCTCTTATTTTCTTCCACCTGTCTGATGACAACCTCCTTCCAATCATCTGAAGCAGGAAGTGAGTAATCAACACCTGTTTTAGGCTTAGGAGAAAATAAATCCCCTTGCCTCTTCATAGACTCCACCGCTCGGCTCTCGAGGATCTCGATCAAATCATCTTTCTCCTTCAAGTCGGCCTTGTAGGAACTCTCTAAAGTCTGGAACTTGTTCTTCCAAGCATCCCTTTCCTGTTGCATCCTAACCAAAGTGAGCTGCAGTTCTTCTAGATCATCTAATAAAAGAGGAGTGGTCTTCACAAACAAATCATGCATGGGTGTCTCCCGAGTATACGGCATTTTCAACTGAATGGCTCTCGATCGGACCCACTGAAGATATGGCTCTAAAGAAACAGCACCCATTGGCCCCAAATCCTTCCTACTCTTCTTATGAATATGACGCCAGGCTTTCGCAATCCGCTCCCTAGCTTCCTTATGGTCTTCTCCCTCCTTCAGAAAGAAACTACTCAAATGAATATTGTTCGGTTTATCTCTCATCGGATATCCAAGCTGTCGTCGTGCAAGAGCAGGGTTATAGTTATTTCCTTCCTTTGTACCAAGAAAGGTACATTGCGGAAACTACCACAACTGTCAACAATCTCTATATCATGATAAGCTCGATGATACCAATCAATATCCGAGTGAGTAAGTGCCATGATCTTAGGAGCCCAACGGGGTTCCTTCTTGACATCCCAAAAGGCATCAGACTGAGGCATATGAGAGATGAACCATCGG